TCACGTGATTTTATAAACAACTTGATTTTTATATTTCAAAAATAACATTCATTCACAAATCACAACAGGGCCATTGTTCGCACCGTGTTCCGCAAGTTTCTCACTGCGGAAAACATTTGTGCACCCAGTCACACTGCTATGGGAATCCCGCTTTGGAATGCAGAATCAGCAGGTGCGAAGGATGCAGGGTCAGTTATTTCGACATTTACGGTCGTCAAATTGTATCTTGCAATCAACCGCTTGATACAGCGGTCAACTATGTTCAAGGATATCGCCATCTGTGATGAAATATGTTGTAACCGAATAAAGCGTTTTATTTTTATTTTATTAAATTTATTATGTTCCATTCGTACCTCAGAATGCACAAGACACCATGGTGGCAATTCACGAACGTATGTTAACTATTTACACCAGGGTTTGGGTTTTCTAGTAGCTGCAGACACCAACATTTTGGTAATTGAGCTTATGACATGTGTTGTTCGCATAAACTCAGATATAGGCGTTGCAACGCAAAAGAATTGGAATTACTCGCACGAACTAGATCAAAATAAAGTAAAAACTCGTATCGCGGGCTTCGCACGATTCAAAACTGTCACTTCTCTGCAGGTCGCACTGGTTTTCCTTGTGTGCAGCATTTGACCCACGGGCCGCAGGTTGACATCAGCTTACATTCTTGGAAAATTCAGCACTGCAATTCAGAGAGCTTAGTAACAAGTTTGATAGTTTCCTGTCTCTTTGCTAATTTTTCCTCGCGCGCTTAGAAAATAATTTGTCTCCAAAAACGTTGATATTAAACTAACGAGAATAAATTCGAGCATAAGTTAATTGTTTCGGTTTTGGGAACCAAATTTTATGGCAACTTACCGAAGACTTCAAGTTTAGTTGTTACTAACATTGTCATATTATTTTAAAGTGAGCGAGACGTAAACGCAAATTTAAAATGAGATTTTTAAAAGTGTGAATCAATTGAAAGATAAAGGATTTTTCAGTGGCACCAACTAGCCAAAATCCACTAGTCAGCGCAATTTTCAAAATTAACAAAATTGCGATGACAGAAATCGTCCACAACCAGCAGTTATTTCATTATACACTGATACTAATTTAAACTTTTATTTAGGTAAAGGTGGAAACTACAATTCTGTGTGTCATCATCTTACCATGCCCCACCAACAGTCATCGAAGGGTGATGAGTGAACCAATTAATGCATACGTGCTTTGCTAAAAGGCAAGATTACGAACTTTGAACAAATTCTGTTAAAGATAGATAATAAAATTGGTGCTAAATATCATTATTGTTACTACTGGAAGTCAAACATCTAAGCGCTAAGCCCTTATTTGTACACGTGTCTCCCATTCTGAAACTTATATCAAATAAAAATACATCGAACTGAAACATCTCATGCGTAAATGCGTTACCAAAAAACTTTATTTATATATATACATGTTCATTGCATTGGAAAGCATTATAGATCTCAAAATGTATATTTGTAATTGTACGTTTAGATCCTAATAAAAAATATAGCATCCAAAATATCATGACAAATCTCGCAATATTAACTAATCAGTGGCGGCGCGTGGTCATTTTGACAACCGGGGCAAGCTACTGCGGGACCAAGTCACCCCCATCTACGGGGACAGGATGAGCGCTGTAAGTTCTCCCATCATTTTATGAGTATAAAAACCATTCCATCAGTAACAACTAATCGGCAAAATCGACAATTTTTAACGATAAGAAAGTGTCTTTAAAACCGGTCCAAGTCAAGGGATTAATAAATATAGACATAGTTTATTTTGAAACCTCTTTCAAAAGGAAAGGCAATATTTACCCAGATAAATACAATGACATAATAACAGAAACTTCGGGAAAGCAGACAAAACCTAAAATAAGGTTTGAAACGTTACTATGAAGAAAGGAAAGCTAATGCAAAGATAAGGACATGCGTCGCTCACTCATAGATATATATGCTGCTAGACTTCTACTGCTTGAACATATATGCAACACGCCGCGGTTTCTTGGAAGCAAAATGCTCAATAACGCGCTGATTAAAGTCATGCATCCCAGAAATAACGTCTCTGTGAATGGATAAAACAGCCAAGAAATTTAATCTATCTTGCTTCATTGTGTTTCCGAGATACGTTTTAATACGCTTCAGCGTGCTGAATGTTCGCTCTGCGTCGGCGGAAGAAATAGGCGTCGTCAAAATGATGTCCAGAAATTTTGCAGACGCCGCAAAGGTAGTTACTAGAGTGTTATCTATGAGGAACCCATAGAGCGCGCAAGTTGATGTGATGTTCAAAAAAGTTTGATTGGTGTATACACATCGCAATTCATTTTCCAATTTACCCACATTTATCATGGGGTAAAATTTGGAGACAGTAGCCAACAAATGGATGGGAAATTGACGTGCAAATTTTGAAAAAATTTTGGGGTTCATCAAAGAGAACGCGGCAAGGTGTTCAGTGCGCAGACGATCGCCTATTTGATTCACTAGAATGTCACAGCATTCCTTTGCAGACAAAATCAAACGCTGCGTTGTTTGCCCGCGGCGTAAAGAAGCACTCCATGTGTCGTCGTATTTTATTTTTTCCCGGATACAAGATACAGCATCGCAGAAGTCTGAAATACACGACTTCACAGACGCACCATCCATTAGCCTTGACTGCAATGCGCCGTATAATACATCCACGTGATAGAATATTGTGGAGAAAAAAGCGAGAAAAAATGAAAACTCACCATCTTCTAGCAGACGCTTTAGACCTGCCGCCTCCCTCACAGAGCGTTCGTCCCAAACCGGAGAGCTCTGAATGCCATTGAAACATTCAATGAGCTCAGACCTAATTTCGGACACGCACTGCACCACGCGTGATTGGAAGTTCCAACGTGTTGGTGCACAAGCTGGGAGACGGCGACTACATATCTGGCGAAGGAGGTCAGAGCGCTTCGGCGAAACGGAAAAAATGAAGAAAACCCCGAAACATTTGCAAAAAATATACGGACGAGAGGGGTATCAAGACACATATTTTTAATAACGAGGTTAAATTGGTGTGCATAACAATGTAAAAAATGCGCATGAGGAAAATCTTCTTTTATATAAACTTGAACACCATGTTTCGACCCACTCATGACTGCCGCGCCGTCATGAGTTTGAGCTATCAATTTTGACTTCGCGTTGTAAGGCTGTAACACTTCTTTCAGTACAGCCGATATCCCGCATGCCGTACGATCAACGATTGGTACAAAGCTGTGAAATCTCTCGGTAGGTTTACCATCTTTCAGAAACCGAAAAATCACAGCCAGTTGGGAAACGCACGTGATGTCAGTTGTCTCGTCAGACTGAATCGAAAGGAACTGGCAATTCTCAATTTCCAGAGCCAAATGTTGTAAATAAATTTTATACATTGAGTCGAGCAAATCATTTTGGATATCCTTAGATGTTCCTTTCGAAACAGTTGCGGCATCAAGATGATCTCTCAATACTGTATCTAGGGATGCGGTGTATTCCACCATATCCAAAAATACCCCTCTATTAGAAGAGCCAGCCCATTCATCTTGCCCACGGAGGGACAGCTCGTGACAACCAATGAACTGCAAAACATCTATCAATCGGCCGAGAACATGGCGGTTTTTCTCGACGTCATGGTTGTGCCGACGAATAGAAACCGCGCGTCCTTCATCCAACTGTGCTGCAATATTAACATTTCCGAATGTTCGGTATTTTACTGCATTGTCCAGATGCTCCATAGAAGATTGATGATCCCTGGCACGCTCGGAAAGATGTTTAAAATCTCTAAAACCAAATTTACACCAACGTGAGTCGGTAGCAAAAAGTAGGCAATAAAAACAAAAAAGTGCATTTTTGTCCTCGCTGTAACACAACCATTCGTGTTTTTTATACCAAGTTTCTGCGCAGAATTTACGCCTACGCTTTCCTCCGTCATGGGATTGTTCCAGTGAACAATTTTTTGGTTGATAAGGCCCAAGACGTTGTACCTCTAATTTTTGTTCCAGGGGCAGCTGCGAAAACGGAGTGCGAAGTAGTGCATCAACCGTATTCATTATGAGGTCTAAGACTAAGAAATGCGAAGCCGGAAAGAAGTGAGGAGCTCAAAAGGAATGTGGAAAATCGAAAGCAAATGGACTAAAGGTCTCTAACTGATTCAAATAGCGAAACAAGCGACAAAAACGAAGGCGAGGAAACTATCAACTCTTCAAGCAACCAACGAACGAGAAGGAATGCGTGAATATGTCAACACGTTGTTGTAAGAAACGTCGGCATTGTGTCGTCATAATTTCGGGGCTAGCCCCGATCGGCCCCGATGATTTAGTAAAAGAAACATTGCCCCGGTTGGCCCTATTGACGCGCCGCCACTGCTAACTATACTTTTGAAATTCTAATTTGATAAATAAAAAACGATTGCAGATTGCAGTCAAGATCAAGACGGTTTTAATGAGTATCCATTACTTGCCCTTGTTTCAGAGCTTGAGATTGAACAAAATAGATGTATAGAATGTAAAATTTATTCTGGGAATTTTTTGTTCAAATTCATGATTTATTTTGTAATTCGTATATATGAACATTGTCGAAAATATATTTAAGATATGAGTAGTTTTGAAATAGATTGCGCACAACTGGAGAAGATAGTCTCAATATTTGACGGGCGAAATTGAGGGGTAATTTTTGAGGTCAGTGTCTGCAATTTACCTGGAAGAATAATAAGAACATAGAAGATCCTTTTTGATTATACTATGGCTTTTAATTGTATAGGAAAATATAGTTAGAGTTAGGATCATAAATAAACCCAACGCTGAAGAGGATTTAAATCCTGTTTACCAAAATAGATGAAAACAGTAATTTAAATGATGTTTTTGTTGTTTTGAACAAACTATACACCACTTGTTAACAAATAGGGAATCTGTGGCAAACAGTTCTAGTTGTTTGTTCAAATTATAATTATGTGCGGGTCAATGACTCGCGCGCGCTCCAATTGAACAATAAAGTCGAGTATGTTCCAAACAGAAAAACATATTTAAAGATCAAGATCGTCGTTATCATCTTTCCAATCATATTTATTCTTTCCCATGTGCATTTTCATCATGGATTCAATGCTTTGGGCGCGTTTGTTAACATCGTACACTCGTAAGCGCAGCTTGTTCACTTGATTTTTAACAGCTTCGTCTTTTGTTTTTCCTCCCCGCTGTAAAAACATTATAATTAAACTAAAATAACATATAAATGATTGATGTTCAGGCTAATTTTGTTCAAAAAAAAAATTAAAAACTTTTATTGGGAGAATTAATTTTGCGTAGTTGTCTTTCGACGAACTAATTCTTTCTAATGTTCATCGGTATCTACTGATTGCATTATTAAAATATGCCGTGGATTATCAAAAATGAGCAATGAATAATGATTTAATAATAGTTTATATATTCATGCAAAGCAACGAACGATTGATGTTTGAGCATCTCTTATTTCTTCTAAATCGTCAGTGATTCCAATCCATTCTGATGAACCTTCATCTGAGACTTCAATCCATTTAGAATCTTTCCCGTACCAGGTTAATTTTCTCTTAGGTATGGGACTATACATTGTACTTGTACTTTTCCAGGGTAACATCTTTTCTGTCTTCAACAGTAAATCCACCTGCAAATTTAGTAACCGTGTTTTGTATCATGCATATATATATACAATCTTGAAAACAATTTTTACAGAGAAAACTACAAAATAGTAGGTAGAATATGCACAGGAAACGGATTTCATTTACACTAATGTATACAATACACAATTTTTTTTATAACTGTTATGTTGTTGGTGTGCTGGACTGATTGAGTTGATTGTTATTATCGTAGACTGTATATTTTTTCCCATTTTTTATAGTGTTGTTAAAGGAGAATAAAGGTTGTGGCAATGCCACATAAATATTCATTCATTTATCTTGTGCCGCCATCTATCGGTATTTCTATGAATTAACATTAAATGTTTCAATCTGACAACGAAATCACACTGTGATAATATATATATTATTGGTTTGCACTTACATACAAGACTCTTGATTCCATTTCTGCCTCTTTTATAACTTCTTTAATGTCATCCACAGCTAAACCAACCTGAAGGTATATTGACTGGAATTACTGCCCATCATCACAAAGAGTACATTTTTATATTCAAGAACAATATATACGAACATCATATAAATAGGCAAGCATGGAAGAATCATAGACTGATAATACAGTAAGTGTTCAACTTCAGTTAGTCGTAACAAAACCCTTCTGGTGATAGCAAAATTTAATGCACCTATGGCTGCGGGATGCAAACACTGGCTTTATGTGAATCTCATTCTGGGCCACATTGAATCGACACTAAATAAGATCTGTGATCTCCGCTACCTTAAAAAAACTTTCCGACTTTCGCGACGTTCGAGAATGAAATCAAAAAATAAAAGTAATAATATCATATTCACATACCAACATATTCATCACGATGATGCTCATAATTATCAAGAATGCAACAAATACGATGTAAGATACTACTTCGTAGTATACCTGGTAACGTAAAAAATAATAATAGAATAAAACAACCTACTTGATCTAAGGTAGTACAGTATACGCCACGCAAATAATCCATGTCGAACTCGAATGGTTCTGGCATTATCAATGCTTAGTTGTATGGAGTATTAGATGCTAATTTTGAAGAAGTGACCTTTTTTCTCCGATGGTTCTGAGCGAATTTCCATACCCCTTCTATGATATGACATTACTAGTTAATCAAACGTGCGAGAAACTTCCCCGAAGTCACGTTGAAAAGCTTGATTTCGTCGCTTTCCTCTATCTCTCTAACGTAAATTCTCTCTACCCTATGCCGGTAATAAGAAAGAAATTTCAAAACTTTCCGAGAGTATTCCCACTATTAGCGCTGTGGTGAACAACAAGTTAACAACAAGTTAAAAGAGATAAAGAGAAATTTCTTGAAAGAACGTCACCTTTCAAACAAGACCAGACTGAGCTTCTGAAGTGGAACGAAATGCGAGCTATCGAAGAGAATTTGATCTCTTGTTTTCGCGATCTGTCTGGTGTCCTGGTTTGTTTATTATGTGCGGAAAACAGTTCCTCGCTCGTTCAAAATACTTCACATTCAAATAATGACAAAATCTTTGTATATTTCTAAGCTTCGAAATACTTACACAAATAAAGTTCAACTTGTAGTAAAATAGAAAATATACAAAAAAAAAACCATTCGTTCACCGTGATTACGAACACTCGGATCAAGCATGGATCACAACATCAACGTAAAATATAAATATTATGTAAATGTTGGCCACGTTATGACCAAGTTTCCCAATATCTTAGCGTTTGGGAGTAAAAAGGTCTTAAGATGTAAATTACCCAAACGATAACTCGCGATTTACGAATGAAAACTGTATGAATGAAATTTGAAGATGAATTAACTCAATCTGAAATCGCATCAGTTCATACCGGTTCAGAATACCCAAATTAAATTACCCAAAAGATAAATCTGGTCGCGATTTACGAATACAAATTATACGAATGAAATTCAAATATGAATTTATTTTCAAACTGAAATCGCATCAGTTCATACCTGGTCGGAATATTCAGAGCTCGTGTGTTCCGCGGTAAAAATTGATTCATATTCGATTTCCCCAATCATCATGACAATTGTTTTCAAAATCGAGTTCCATAAATTTCCAAAAACAATCTGAAAACATAGCAATGTAATATATACGGCTAATTTAATGCAAATGAAGTTGCCACAAAGAATTAACTCGGCGAATCCTATACTCGGCTGCATCGATTTATCTATTTCGACATTTTCATTTTTTTTTTTTTTTTCAATTTCCATTTAATGATTGTATGTATTCAATGTAGTGATTGGCGCTTAAACATAATTTTTAACAGTCATCTCAAAACGGCGTATAGAATATAACGAGTGAGCACAACAAATTTAAAATATACTGTGGCGTATTTATATAGTAAAGGTTAAATAAATATTACTTTCACTTTAACTTTCCAATGTTCTTGTTGCAATGAAATAATCTCAAGAGTGAAATGTATCAATGATCAAAAACACTGATTTTTACGTTATTTTCCTTATTAATATTCTTATTGCATATTTTCAAATCAAGGAAATTTTAGTATTTTAATTGCGAATAACCTGATTTTGAAAAACGATATAAAAACTGAATCCGAATGCACAAACAAAAAGAGCCAGAACAATGGAAAATCTGAAAAATGTTTTAAGGATCTTTATAAACATCACAACATAAATTCCGAGGTTAAAGTTTGGTATTGCTTCCACGAACAACAACAAAACAATCCAAGAGAGAAAGATATCAATTGTTCCCATTTTCCACTGCCATTCCTAAAATATACAGCGTGTAAACTAAATATTTGTTTGTTATCCACTTACTGGTTTAAAAATTTTTGCGAATGTTTATGAATAATATTTATAAAGAATGAATATATACATTCTTATTATGCATATATCACTCCACGTGCGAATTTTCTGAAGTGTCCATCCTCTTATATTGAGTGGTTTTGAATTGCGAAATAGATTTGGAAAAAATTTTCAGAGTTAGTAATATTCTGTACCTCTAATATTCCGTACTTTCGCGTGAAAGAAGTAAATGGAAAAACCGTTGCTATCGAAGTACAAAACAAAAATAGTTCAATCCAGTTTGTTGCGTTCTTGAAGTAATCAAGTTTTTCTCCGGGAACTGGAATAATTACATAGATAAAACGTGAAAGTGTCAAAAGTATATAATAAATTTTGAAAAATATTCACGTGCTAACATATAATTTGCTTTGGTGCCATCTGTAACAGGAAAACATTGTTTGAATTGATGGACGCAAAGATTGCGCATCGGTACCGGTGACAGCCACGTCATAGTTGAGCCCCGAGTTCGTTGAAAAGACCGAAGTACAAGCATCGATAAATCGGGCAAGTGTGGTGGAAAAAGGTGTTTCAAAATATGTGAATTTTAAGGAAATACAGTAACAGTTTCCTGACAGTTTTATCCAAATTTAGTAATGTGGCGAATGTGAATTGTAACTATGGATTATAATGTTATCTAGCCCCTTTATATTAATAGTATGTTGAATTCTACTTAACATGTCATTTTATTACAGCGATAGCGACAGGCCTTCGTTTTATATTTATAGCCTTCTTTGTAGCGACCAATTTGGATATTTCCGGTTTCGCCGAGTGTTGGAGGGTGTTGTGTTTTTCATGTTTTTGTGGTTTTGCTGCATTAACGGTTAAGTGTATTTCTGTATTTGGATTGGATTGTAAAACTTTACAATATACAAACATTTGGCTTTCAATCTATTGTGTACTTAGTGACTCCCGAGGAGTTCAGATCGAAGTTATGCTCAATTAAACGTGTGTCAACCTAATAACACATGAGCGAACGCTCAGATAGGGTCAATTCTCTCCCTCTAGAGTACTAAAATCGATTGGTCAATACCAATATTAACAACAACAACAATTCAGTTGAATCATCTCTGAACTTTTCGTTCAATAATGTGAAAAATAAATCAAGTAGAAATAGTAATGGGTTTTACTGATATCAGTAAAATATTTTGCAGGGAGTGGCATAAGTGTTAAAGTTTGGGTCTTACTGAATTTTTAGTATTGAATCAGTTGCAAAGAATATTGTTTCAAATGGCTTGTCTTGTTCGCTCAGTTATTTTTTCTTCAGCTAATTATTTTCATAGAATTTATTTAGCTTCATTCACATCCATATATATTATGACATAGAAGTATAATTACCTCTTTCAGTAGATTAGGAAAAACTAAACAAACTGAAGCGTATCCGACGTACCAAAGACCGCGCTTCGCAACGCAAGAATCACCCCATACACTTTGAGCCTCAGGTAACATCTGTACACACATTTCTCCATTTGAATTTAATGTGATATCTAGTAAACAAAATGTCCATAAACAAAAATTGATGTAATTCAGTTTTAATTGTGAATAGGAAATGTATTTAAGTTAGATTCAAACATATATCTATAAAGATGTGGGAGTATTTATACTAAGGCTTCTACAAATGATTATGTTCAACTTACTTATGGCGTAGGGCGGCGGAATTGTCATCATGAAAACATTGAACAAACCCATGAAAGAAATATAGAGAAGAAATGCCAGCCAATAAAAAATTCTCAGGTTTTTGTTTTCCCATTTGTGCTTCAAAATTCTTTTTACAAGTGGATGGTACATCAGTTCACGTCGGTTTGATTTCATTATTAATGTCAGACAGTGGTTTTGTATTTCATCTGTCTACAAAGAAAGATTTCACTTTTGAATATGGGAATAAAGATCATATGCTTCATAGTTGAAAGGTAGAACGAATTTTCTCACACTAAGCTTATTTGGTTAGGTATTCACCTGATTCTCATATTCTTTTGTATCATCGAGATTTTCAAAAAAGTAATGTCTTTGGGGAATCTGTAGCAGTAAGTAGTTTTCATTAAAGATTTTTGCAGGGAGAGAATCGTTGGGTTAATTATTGGATGTTAGAATAACGAGAGAATTCAATACCCAGTATTGAAGGGTTTATTGGATCTCCGCTCTAGGAGACCATTATTATCAGTCGTTCTGTTGGATCTCCGCTCTAAGAGACTCTTATTATCAGTCGTTCTGTCTGTTGGATCTCCGCTCTAGGAGACCCTTATTATTGTTATCGGTCGTCCTGTCTGTGTATCTGTCAGTCTGTCTGTTTAGATGTAGCGTCTAAACGGCTGGACCAATTAGGATGAAATTTTTCACGTGGGTCATCCTGTCATCCTAGTATTGTTCGTTTCATAGAAAGTCCGGATGGAGGTTTCGTTTCCATGGAAACAGCGAAAAACGCGTCGATTGTTATGAAATTTCAATTTTTTACCATTACCTTCCGCATAGCAAAATACTCTTTCCAATGAGTTATCTTTGGTCTCGATACTCCATAAACTGGAGGAGCCTTAGGGATTTTAGTGAAGATTATTTTTTAATTTCAGCCACAATATACCAGTCACGCTAGTAAGACTACGAAACGCGCAGCGTTTGAAATGAACTTAGCGGAACGCGCAGCGTTCAAATGAACTGGCGTTTTTAGTAGTGTCTTCTATTATCCGTTAGTAAACTGAAATGATGCGGTCCTCAAACAATGACGGAGATCCAACTGGGCGACTACCGGCTTGTATTATTATTATCGGTACTAAGTGGCTCTATGGATCGTTTTGTAATTATTTTGTTGTTGATAATCATGTTGTTAGTATTTCTTACCTTCTTCTTTTTATTGTGACAAAATCGTTTTTTCATTAACCACGGGATCAATTGCATTTTCAGTGATTTAAGATTGTATTTTTCATTAGAAGGCTTTCAATATTATTATTTTTCAAAACTTCCCGTGGGTTCTGTGGGATTTGTTTTTCCGTCTGAAGTTTCGTGTGGTGATGTAAACAAATTTAAAAACAATTAAAAACGATTTCAAGGTGTTGCGCAATGGCATATTAGCTCGTGCTCAGCTAAGGTCGGCAGAACTCTGAATGAAACTGAAGTTTCTGTTTTGATTTAAATATAAAACCTAAAAAACAATTCCTTCATTTATGAATGGTGCAGAAATTTTCGCACAAAAGATTTTGCTATTTACTGTAAAATTTCAAATAAATTGAAGCAGATTTTGTAGAAAAATGTAATTCAACTGTCAAAAAATTACAACAGAGGAAGATCTATTGGTACTAAACGGATTGTTTGTCTAGCCTACAATGGAAATATTCAATAATGGTAGATATGACTAAATAAATTGTCATACATATATTTGGGATGATTTTACAAAACTGAACCTGAGTAAAATATTTTCCTGCAGTCAGTTTATACCGCAACACGCAATACCTAATTCTAATAAAAAAGAAATATTGAAAATGAAGGGTGGGTTTTCAAGGTAGATGAACCACTAAATACATATTTGCCATCTCATATGCAAAAATACCTTGTTTTTACTCAATAAAATAAGATTCTTCATATTTTTAAGCTCCCAGTAATGGAAGTGTTCCATTAAATTTAACTGTTTCACAATATTATTTTGATTTGTAGTTCATCTTGTGAAATATGTACGTGGTAAAGTTTGCGGCCTTCAGATTTATGCTTGCGGCCCTCGTGGTAATTTGAGTTGTGCAGGCCTGGTCTGGACTCTACTAGTATATGGTTTCTGGGAAAATTGTGTGTGAAATATTTCGATTTGGCGTCGTGTCCAAATATATGATGCAAATATGTGATGCATTTGTTGAATGTGAATCTCTACATTGACTGAGATATTGAATAACCCTTCCTCCATATACTTCATGCCATTCATCTTAGAGGCAAAAATTTATTTGGATCATCCTTCTTCGTAAAAATTTGACAACTCAATTTTCTTCAAACTAGAACTATTAACGATTGTAGCCAATATGCTTGCGCCAGCATAAACCATGACACATAAAAGGGATGAGCAATTTTGAGAGTTGAGGTAAATAATTGAAATTCAATTCTTTATAACTGCGAAAGAATCATCAAATAGTTAACTGAAGAACAGTCAGTTTTCCAAAATTTTTTATAAATAATTAACCATTTTAACTGATTGACTTCACTTTTTTCAGTATGTGTCGTTTTAGTCTACTTATTATCTTGCTATTGGTTGTCCTAGGAATATTGAATTTTGCATTTTTTACCATAAAAAAATCAATCAATGTAATTACTTTATTACCTTTTTTTCAATATTTTTACCATTCTTCTTGACTTATTTCGTAGCTGAAAACAAGTATAAAAGTTTTATAAAAAACTGAATAATCGAAGTAATGAATTCAACTTTTCTATGTGTGCTAAAATAGTACCTAAGCCTTATAGCTAACTCAAGAGTACGAAACCCCTTTTTCATCCATAAAAAAATGAATCATCGCCCCCCTACAGTAGTTTATACAACTTCATCGCCCCCCGACACTGCAAAGAAAATTTGAAAGTCTGAAACGATTGTATTACAGACCAAATAATGAGACAAATCATAGTTTATAGTGTTTTTTAATGAGATGGATGAGCTTGGTGTTCTTCGGCGAGTTTTTATTATATCTAAAATTACCCCGTTTACTGATGGAAAGACGATTTAGTTGTTTTGATAGCAAGAGCACGGCTGAAAACCTCTCTTTCACCATATCAGAGGTCGGAAATGAAAGAATCCAGGGTTCTACCTTCTCAAAGACCGCCGTGTACTCTTGCCTTAAAGCATTTATCTCCCCAAATTCACCCCATTTCACATTTAAATAATGAAAACAAAATTAATTTTTCAAAACTTATAATAATGTTCAAAATGAAGGCCTACATCAAAATTTAGTCAAATATGGTCATTTGATTTTCGTATACATCTATTTGAGCAAGGCCCTGTTTTTAGCTACTTTTAATTTCTGTGCTTGCTATAAAAATTGACGGTAATATGGATTGAGCGCCATAGCATGCGCAGGCGTCGTTGCCTTTTCTCGATCCTCTATCCAAGTTTCATAATATGCATTGTATTTCAATTGGTTTGTGTACAACCTACAACAATAGGTTATGAATTTTGCAAACACCTTTGATGATAATCACTTTAATACTAAAATGATACAGAAATGTTGCAATACCATGGTGAATATAGGTTGTTCAAACTTCCCTAATCTCGAATTAGGCTAGAGTAAAAGCTTGTGCAATCAATGTCAATGAGGCAGTCAATAAAGCAAGTCAAGTTTAACTTATATGATAAGATATTTCGACAAACAAAACGCAAATTCGCCATTGGTGATCTGCTTCCTCAACATGATTTTACCTAGCACAATCAAAGAAAAAAGGGGCTCATTTAAAAGATAGACAATTCCCTTTAAGTCTGACCCAATATTTATACCATGATATATTTACAAAGGATTATACACGACAAAAAAAGAGTTCAATTCATCAAATTTTAAAATACAAGAAGGCGCTCGCTTGATGAAACAAAACATGACTATAATTCAGAAACAAGTGTAAATTATTCATTTCAACTTTGTGACAAAGTATTGTTCTATTACATTACAATTTGGCAAAAAACTGCCAAATACCACTGTTGCTGCTACTATTTCAGTGTATGTATCGGTTAATTGGACAATTTGATGCAATGGCTTTCTCTTTTCTGTCCTCATGTACATAGGATAATACCATCTTTACAAATTTCGGAACAGTTACACTCTATCAGGCATTAAAACAATATATTGAAACTGAAAACGTTATCTGGCATAGTATGGTAGGCCTATAGTCTATTTCAATTATATTTCGCGAGTCAGCAGTAATAACCATTCTTGCGAAAACGTTGGATTGTTTTATACGTTTCAACTGACTACATCAATTGTTTGTCAGTCTTAAGACTACATGCAGCCTGCAGAATAGCCAAGGATACAACACTAATCCTGCGTTGAATCTAATCAAGATATTTTTTTATAATACGTCATACGACTAAAGCTATAACGCACAAAAGTCAAATTTCCTATAGAATTTAATTCTATTATAACAAAGTTACCACACCAAACCACCTGTACAATGATTATTAATAAGCAAGCATCATCTATATAGCAAATCAAGAATAGAATCTAATATAGCGAAGTAAATTTACAGCAGCACAACACTTGCAATTAATTACAACAAACATATAAACTTTGATAAAACAAATTTTTAAGTTAGCTTTGTTTCTATGTTTTCTACAAAAATACAAACTTATATAATCATTCAGGCAAATGTGTTCACAAAACGAGTAATTCACTCAATTAAGGTATAATCCTGCAACTCATTTCTCATCTTTATAAAGCAATGTGTGGCCTAGAATAAGACTTTTTATAGATCAAGATCGTCATTGTCATCATCTGACTCATCTGACATCTGATAAGTATTGTTTCCAATATTTAGTTTCATCATGGATTCTATTCTTTGAGCACGCTTGTTGACATCATATATTCGCAAGCGCAAATTGTGCATCTGACTTTTGACAACATCATTGCTTGTTTTTTCTACAATCTGTAGAAAGACATTTTAATTACCCAGGTTATTTAAACGCTCATTGATACAAATGCAAAATTAGATTGACACTGTTAGAAGATGATTAATATCTGACTTGTAACATGTGTAAATTCGAGCATGTAAATGCGCAATCTTTGTAAAATGGTTGTAAACGCTATAACTGGGCCGTAAATTTTGTTGTTAGTATTCTTTCTAGTATTTTCCTCCTAATAATGCTATTTATTACTTTTTTTTTCATTTCAAAAACTGAAAAAATAGTTTTCTTCTGATAATATAAAATGGCAAAATGCTATAGGCTTTCTACCTGAGTCAGCTCTTCTTGTTCGTTGTGCTTCACTTCGATTTTGCCTTCTTTTGGAATGAATCTTTTTCTCCATTGCTTTGGAAGCTTAGATTGTGTTTCTAGCACAAGTTTTGTCTAAAAACATAGCACAAATGTAATAAGTCACATTTGCAAACAACATTGCTAATTTAATATAATCGTAAATCATATTAATGATCATAGAACAAAGATATTTTTTTCGATAAACTAAGCTGTCCAAATTGACTACTCGCAGCTTTTTAATATGTGAATTCATTATTATCCCATTTTATTTATTCCATCAAAAAAATATCAAACTTACGTGACGTGCCCTCGATTCCAATTCAGCCTTTTTCTGAACTTCTTTAATGTCATCCACTGCTAAGCCGACCTAAAATTATTACAAATTTCATTTGCAATTAAATAAATTTGGCCTAATAAAACTCGATATACTTAGAATCGTTTTCGCGTGCTATCGATTGGTTAAACTGAGATAAAATATCTAGAATGAGCATAGACTTCCTTGAGTAGATGCACTATGAAATCAACACTTACGATGAGTATGTACGGTGCTAGATACTGTAGGATGATTGCTATTACAGCGATAGGTCAATCAAACTCTACGTGTGATAAACTTCAAGCTTGTAATAGGACGTGAGGTCTTACTTCGCATCTTTTCATCCCTAATGAATATTTCTGTATACGTTTATAATAGAGATGCACACCTAATTTGTGCACATCCAACTTCATCAGAGTAGACGCCATATGACGGTGTACCCCACGCTATAGTTGCACCTAATACGGCTCAGAATACTTACCAACATATTCATTACAATGATACTCTTAATGATCAGGGATGCTACAAAAACAATGTAAGACACCACTTCGTAGTAGACCTAAAACAGAAAGATGTTTTTCGTTTTTGAAAACATGTCCCAGTTATGCAATCATTATATAGATAAAATGTTCGAAAGTACATATTTCGACCTATTCTATTCACGAATATCGATCATGTATAATTTTTATTCAAAATGACCTAATATCAGCACAAACTGGATGCCTATTCCGATTTCTTCGCGTTTTTTTCGTTTTATAATTCACATCTATTGCTTCAAATTCTTGATTCTTCAAACTGATTACATGTATTTGCATTACCGTTGAACCCGGCAATTCAAAGACATATTTGGTCCAATGCAGTTACTGTGGCCAGTTTCATCCTAATATCAAGATACAGCAAGTTCTCAACTATTTTGCTACATTTATGATAGATTTTATAAGTTAAAATACAAAGTACTTACTTGATCTGAATAGGCTGGACTAGGTTGTTCCGCATTAAACATTGAATCACAATCAATTCCACCAATCATAATAACTAATGTTTTGACGATCGATTTCCATAGATTAGTAAACGCAATCTATACGTACAGTAAAAATCTAGATCAATGTAAAATTTCTATACCATAGTATTTAGTTATCACAAAAACTTTACTTTTTATCATACCTTATAACAAGGTTATTTAATTCAAACAATAGCTTTGATCTTGCTCAATTTAACTAATTGACCAAGTGCGGGTCAGAAGATGAATCTGAATCTGGAGTAGATTTGTCTAATCACTCAACTTTGCGAGCAACAATATTTTGTATCTAGGAAAGGGACACTGGAATCTATATATCTCGAAATCGAAATGTTAATTCTGTCTTCGAATTAGACACAAAGCAAATATTTACGTTTTCCGATGGTATGGTTTTGGTCAATATTACATAGATAACAAGATATGTAATTGTCGTGTAACTTGCAACCGGATCGGAAAACGTTTAAAACTTATATAAAATACGAAATTGTGCACAATTGAATAAATGCTGACTACCTGATTCTGGAAAAGAACATGGAAACTGAAACCAAACGCACACACGAAGAAGAATAGAACAATCGAAAACTTCAGAAATGTTTTCAAAATATTTGTAAACATTATGACATAAATTCCAAGTTTGAATTTCGGGATGTTTTCCACAAACAGCAACAGTTCCATCCAAGAGAGGAAAATGGTGATTGACCCGAGTTGCCATTGCCATCCCTAAAAAGGTGGTTTGTAGAGTAAATATAAGAGATCGATGCTCAAATATATGGACACGAAGTAGTACGTTTATGCAACCTGTCACAACAGCCTACTGGTACCGTATTGCAACTGAGATTTGATTTACGCGAAAGGAACCGCCACAGGTAGCGCAATTTTTAATTTTTTGGCGTCATCGCACACAAATAACGAATCCCATAGAGACCACAGAAATTTTTAAAAGTACTAGCCCTCTAAAGAAATTTACAATATTTAACATTTGAAAATTCTAAAGCAATTGTCTTAGTAATTTATGAAAAAAGCAAATGTTTCACCACAAAAGAAAAAAAATACTAACATGATGATAAACAACAACAAAATAACAAAATGATCCACAGTCCATTTCGTGTCCAATAATCTAAAGCTCAAAAGGAAGAATTTATCAAGTTTTGAGTATTTTACTGATTTTAAAAGACAAAAATAGTTCCCAATGTCAGATTAAATTTCCCTGAATAAATGTTTCCAAACAACCTTCACAATTTTTCAATTTTGACTTCCTACACTCGAATAAAAAAGTATGGTTGCCTCATTTTTAAAAAATCAAATATCTTTGGTTATTTATTCAGAATATTCATGATATACATTCTCAAATAACAAAATATATTTCTTGACCCCCTATTTATACCATATATATTGTAACAAATTTTCAATTGTTACTTGCAAATTATCGAATATGCATCGAATTAATTTTAATTGTGGACCTTTGAAGGAACACAGATATTCCTTCTACCTGTATAAAACAATGATCTCATGTTCTTAAAACAGTGAGATCATCGATATTCTAAGAAATATATGCTATTCCAATCTATTTTGCTATATATTTACTATACATTTGACCTTAATTACTGCGCCGATGCTATAAACCGGAAACAATACTAATATTGCTCCTATCGAAAACGGAACGAACTAGTTTCTGATTGGTCAAAAATAACCTTCTTTCCAAAAATGTGATAAATAAAGATATAGGATTTATTCATAAAACGGAGAAATCCCAAACGCCGTTAAATATTATAACCTGACCCAAAATGTAGGTGGAGAGCGAAAAGGGGGGAGAAGGTGGGATAGATAGGGGGGCAACCCGCAACCTTCACATCCAACGTACCGTTTATACTTTATATATTATGCTCAATGTCGTATCTTGTCTTTTCTGCACTCTGATTGTTGAGTTATCGTATGTTTATTTGAACGGAGCAATAAAAATTGAAAGATTGTGAAAAGGTTGTTTAACTGTTATATCAAATTAACAGGATTACCATTTAAACACGTATAACTTCTGATTAACATATTGCTTTATATCGGAGTAGATTCTAGAAGTCTATATTTAACTAAGGTCGTAGGGCAGTCAACAGGGCTATCGGATAAGTTCTCAGATAAGAGATAATTCATAGCAGCAACACAACTTTCTACGTTACAATATGTAATTAAATTTATTTTGTACCTCTAGAATTCCATAAGTTTGTGTATATTCCGTGAATGGACAGGCAGCAGCTATGGCAGATCCGTAAAGAGAGAGCTCGATCCAGTTTGTGGGATCACGGAAGTAAGCCCTCTGGCCTCCGTACATTTGAACAAACTGCGCAAATAAAATCGGGAATGAAAAACTTATTCGGCTCATGCGTGTGATTAATATAAATTTATTATTATTATTTTAATGGTGTTAATATAAATGATGGACTGGCAAATAGATTTGGTAAGGCTATATAAAGTCCTTGAAAGGTGAGAAATTTGAAAATGATAAAATATTTCCATTTTTATTCCATTCAGAAATTGTGTTTATTGTAATCTATGCTCACGCACGTTATATTATATCTGAATATGTTTATTCGGTAGCTTGCTAAATTTGATTTAAAAAAAAATTCAAATAGTACAAAAAAGCAAACAAAATTCATATTTCTAAAAATATGATAATTATTGTTCATAATATTTCGGTTTTAAATTAAACAAGTAATTGAAAACAAGGCGCACTAAAATCTTTCAAATAAAGGATGTACTTTGTCTTTTATTTCACAAATGTCCTTGTGTCAACATTGCTCAATTAAATCTACATAAATGAAATATTTCAAGTTTCATAATTCCGTCAAAAAATCAATTCAATGATTGATACCTCTTTTATTAGGTTGAGAATTGCAGCACCAATTGCTATATAACCAGCAATCCACTCGCCATGCTTGAAATCACACGAATCGCCCCATTCTTGTTGAGCTTCAGAAATGACTTCGCATGTTCCATTTGATGAATCTGAGAACAATAGTATGAATTGTTCACATAAATAATGAGTAAAATAAAATGAATGAAAGTTGTGCTGAAGTGTTACATATTTAAAATTAAATATATAAAATATAAAAAAATTCAAAATAAAATTTAAATAAAGCAGCAATGGAAAACCTTGAGTGTTCAATAAATTTAAAACACAGCTTTTTATTTTACATTTTTAGTAGAGAAACTGACTAGAGATTGTTGAAAAATGTAAGTAATTGCTTAGCATCTGATTATGTTATTATAAAAAAAAGTTTAATAAAAATGTCGATATAACAGATGCAACTTTGCAAGTGCTTAAATAGAGATTATGTAGATATATACAAAAATTGCCGAATCTGACAAAGATTGAAACTTAGACTGATATTGAAATGTATTTGTCTTGATACGAAGGCTGTATACACAAACTACTGAAATTCCTGAATTGACCTCATCGACATATAAGACAATTCTCAAGGTGGTGATGAATGCTCAATGCTAATGCGTTTAACGTTGATAATGATAATATTGGCTATAGCAACGCTATTGACATGAATACTTTTTATCCAGATTACTATTGTATCAAAATATATACAGACACAAAAATCACTCAAGTTGCTAATTGTACTACGAAATGTAAATTCAAACTAAATATTTACTTGTCGCGTAGGGCGGAGGAATTGTCATCATAAACACATTAAATGGAATCATAAAGCATAAGTAGAGAAAAAAAATAAGCCAGAATATCAATCTCAGATGCTTATCTTCCCATTTGTATCTCAACAATCTTTTCACTAATGGATGGCAAAGTAAATCAGAGTCATTTGATTCGACTATTGACATCAGGCAGTGCTGTAAAATAAACTTTGTGATTCATATTTTTTCTATTCAATTGGAGCAAAACATTCTTTTAAATTCCATTTCCCACGTTTCCAAATATTTGTTTGTTTTTTAATAAATAATACAAAATAGTAGGATAGTTGATTTTATTGTATCACTCGTTGTTTTGATTACTTTAATACCGAGTTACAAACTACAAACTTATGTACTTTTTTTGGAACAAAAGAACATGTACTAAAATAGCTATATAGAAAAATAACATCTTGTGTTGAGTTGATTCGGATCATTTGTATCTGCATATTATACATGAAATAAAGCATTTGGTTTGCAAAAAAAATAACAGCATAACCAACCGAATTTTCCAATCCATCCTCCAGAAATTTGAATTCATAATATGTCTTTTTCTAAATTTAAACATTTACAAATCAGTTGAAATGTAAGAAATGGGAAAGGAATGGAATTGGAATAAATAAAAATTTGTCGGTTAAAACTGGCATTGTCAAGCATACGTTACTGAAAAAGAAACTAGCAAAGCACACTCCAATCTCTTTCCATACAAAGATACTTTTTTATTGTCACCATTTAATAATATATAAATGAACTAATATGAGCCTTTCACTTATATAACCGTTGTTGATGGTGTCGCTCTGTTTTAGCAACGAAACTCAATATAACGAGATTATTACTATTACATTGAAAAATTCTTCAAGAAGCAAATTAGGTTCAATGGCAACAATATCAAAATATACCATTTCATAATAAAGTCCTAACTCCCTCGTATTGCTAATCTCATTTTTCGATAAAATATAATTTGAAATATTTTCCATTAAAAAAACTTACAGTTGCTATTTCTGAATCATAATTACTTGAGTTCTAAAAAATAAAGATTTTTGTAATGTGTTGAGTATCAATGTGCAGGATGCACAAAATTTGACGCATACGGCTTCGGAACTCTTAATATTGAGAGGCTTCGGAAAAACAATTAACCGCACAAAACAAAAACCTAGCTCAAAAATTAATTATTCGAAATTAAATAAAAATTGTATAATCTGCTTCTAGTCATATGTATGTAAAATACTCCGATGCCGCCTTGTTAGGGGGTTTCACAAAAACCAATCCATAATTTCGAGAAAAAAATAATCAGCACGGGGAGAAATCTTATAAATACCTGGTAACGATTTTATGTCCTAAATCAACATCTCATTCGAAGGCTGGATCAGTGTTTGCAAAATATATTCAGATATCATGATAAAAAAAATATATCTATTAAGCCCAGGGGTAATCTGATAATGTATATCTTATGTATATTTTCGATTGTGAATTTTTTGGAGCACATTTAGTTTATCATAATGAATCAACAATATGTAAAAATCGTTTGTATTAAAATTTTTATTTGCATATACATGTAGTATCTAAATTTAAAACTTCGATTTCCAACTTACCCTTCTTTCAGAGTCGATCTTTATCTGAGAATAAAACGCTAAAATAGTAGATCAGTCAATAATTTTTTTCTTTTTTTCTTGGAGTTTATCATATATTAATCACTATAAACAAAGCTCTATACAATAAATTATGTTTCGGTATATTGTAAGAAATAATTATCAAATTCATTATCCATCTAATAATTATGAATAGAAAAACACCCCCTTAATACAATCTTAACAGAAAGTTGACAAAAAATATTTTTATAGGTCAGACCCAGGCCATATCATAGCATGTCCGAACCCGTTTAAAAATACGTTATTTGCTCGAAACAGTAAAACAGGATCTAACTGGTATAAACCGGCTCCAAAGTCTGAGATTGTACCTCTTGTTTACAGCATTTGTTGAAAACTTGTTTTGCAACAATTGGAAGGTTCATGATGAGTCTGCGCATAGTTGTCGTTTTATCTTCATCTCCTCCTGATTTAGCTGTGTAAGCAATTCATCCAATTGAGAAAACTCATGAAAAAGTATCTACTACTAAGTAAGTCGTGCAAGGGTTGCGATTTATAAAATCTTTGTCTTATTCCACTTCTTTATACAAATATGCATTTACTCAAAAGTATTTATTTTTCAACGTTTCAATGTTTTTGTATCAAATAATTAGGTTTATAACCACAAAATTACCCTCTGAGATACTATAAACAATATTTGAATGTACGAATTGCCGCGCCGATATGCCTGCACGTGATGTGCTGGATAGTTCAATGTTGCCACCTAACACCAAAATTCCGTTATATAAATTCGACAAAGCATCTAACGTTTGGAGAATACAAAGTCGCCTAAAAAAGCTACATTTAAAAAATTTATATTTGTACTCATAATTCATAGGTATAATTATAGGCATAGGTATAATTCAACCCGTAACTTTTTACCCAAAAATACCAATCAACACCAACAGAAATTTGCACCCACGTTTATTTCAACATGTGGTATTCTTGAGCATTCGCACACACGAACATTTTGTGTAACTTTGGGTGGATGCACTCACAGACATGTTTTCTTCCATAAACGTTTGCACTCTTTCGTGAACATTTGCACCCATGAACCCTTGCACCGAAAATCACTTATGCTCGCACATGCCAAGATAATAGCTATTCCCACTTTTTGGATCCCAAATAACTTAATAATAAAAGTTCTATTCACACCCTCACGACCGGTGAATACAAGAGAATACATCTTCATTCTGTACTATTTTATTTGAATATATATACTTTCTCAGTAAAATTTTGAATAAAATTGAAATAGGAAAGAAAAGCGTACTTTTAAATTTTAAAACCTCCATCCAATCTTTCCTATTAATGATTTCCATTGCGCAGTCGTTGTTGCGATTATCCGCTGCAACATCCAATGCGTTCCGACCATCTTGTATTTCAGTTGCTTCTGCTCCTTTGCTGTCATAAGATAAATATGTTTCCTGAATGTTTACTGCTTCATCGGCACACAAATACTCTTATTATGCAGCGAACTCAAACGTAAAACTTGAGGAAATTTATTTGAATGGAAATTTTGTTAATCAATAGCAATTCATTTGGGGCCGTCAATCATTGAAAAATCCCCAAACGTTCAAGGAAAACTAACTTCTAAACTCATTATCATAAAATGACCTAATGACAGCGCAATTTTTTGTCATTGATATTGGTGTAACTTCAGTTTTTATCAGAATCCTACAATTTGTCGCAATTTGCATTACTGAGTGAGTTTTCAACCTCTGGTATGTATATAGGCTCTCCCACGTTCTATCCATTAAAATGCATATGCGAATACTTCCGGAAATTATCTATTATTTTTATGATGTTTTTATTTATTTACACGCTTATTAATTTAAACAAGGGTTCACGAAGCCATCAATCCAATATAAAGCACCCATGGAATAGTTGCAATCGACCACTGACATTGTGTGATTATTAAAAAAAGTAATACTAATAATTAATGCATATTACATTGCCTCTTACTCGAGTAACAGCTTAACCATATCCACGTGGCCTCCTTTGCATGCCCAATGTAGTGGAGGCATCCCCGAATTGGCATAATTGTTAAATTTCAGCATATTCACGGGTGCGCCAGAATCTATCAATATTTCAGCGCCCTTTTTCTGACCATTTTGAGCACAGCAATCTAATGGAGTTTGGTTTTCGTTGTTTCTGAAAGAAAAACAATATTTTAATGTTGTATCTATAACGAAATGACACATTTTTCCAACTTGGGAACAATTTTTGTTGACAATATGTCGCGGCATCAGCGAGCAATTTTTATATATATTAGGATAATTTGACATGGTTTCGTCGATTCTGAAACATTCGAACTTTTTGATGTGGCTGTTATTGGGAAAAACATCGCGATGTCAATCACCAGTGTGGACCGCAAACTGTCATCACTCGTCAAGAATTTGTTTAGAAGAACTTTAAGCTGGAATATTTAATTAGATATATTTGTTTAAGCCCGTTATACACCTCCGGTATTTATTTAGATATCGGTGTTTGTTGGCAACCATAATGTGTGCTGAGTATTCATCTGTCTAAGCTTCAAAAAACTAATAAACCAACCTTGCAAAAAAGTTAGCCCCAGCGGCAAGAAGAACGCGCACGCAGTTGGCACGCTCTTGTAAAGCAGCAAGGTGAAGAGCAGTGTTGTCATCTTCGTCGGTGTCGTAAACCAATCGGTTATCCAATTTGAGAAGCTATTTTACAATTTTCACATGTCCGTTTACAACTGCCAGATGTAAGGGGGTTTGACATTTCTTGTTCTTCAAACACTTGGTCGCTCGAAGTTCAGTTAGAAGAAACTTGAAAAAGCAAGGAAAAAATATTAACAAGATGTTCGAACATATGTAATCGACAAATAAAAACTTGAAATACCTCCGTAAACTCTAAATAACCATTTTTGGCTGCAATGTGCAATGGCGTGTTTCTGTCCAAATCTGGAATATTCACCATGGACTCTAGCAAAATGTTCTTTTCCCTTAGCTGAAAATTAATAGTTCAAACTTAGTGTGAAGTGTTCATATTTTTTGAATTGTATTGATTTAAATGCTAGAGCGCATTAAATAGATCAACGAATCATATTTTTTGTTTGCACTTCTGAGTAATCATTTCATAATTGCAAGAATATTATATTCTTCAAAACTCGCTTGATCGGGGAAATCGAACCCCGACAGGCCATTAATGGCTCATATGAAGAACCACCCATGTGGCTGCAAGTGATCTAGCCAGCCAGGGAGGGATTATCTTCATATGATCAAGTCTGGATGGGAGACCTGACCAATAGCCAAAGTTGGAAGGATCTTCATATGAGCGCGACTGCTTTGAGGATCTTCATATGACCCCATTCAATTCTCATTGGTGCGATTATATTTTATTAGCTCTTTCGTTGATTTATCTGGTAGATATGTAGCCCATAAATAAAACAAGTCAAAGCAGAAGTGATTTACCCTAAAAATGAAAGAGAATAATCTCGGATTGCTCTATGAAATCATCACAAACTAAGTCCTAAACTACACTTGCAATCTTCCACGGAACTATCTTTATAGGACTCGGAAGTTCCCCCAAATATATGAAACTTTATTTTGATGAACGTTTGAATAAAAAAAATGCGAAAATATGAATATGAATAAATATTGTACAAAAACCACAGCGGCAAACTGTTTTTGTCTATCAACCATAAACATGTATGTCTATGAACCACTGAAATTGTATATTAGGCATAAGCGCATACATGAATAATGTTACAATGATCGTTTGCGCGAACTTTAATATTGACTTTATGTTCCAGTAGCATGAGCACAGCATCATACTTGCCATATTTTGCAGCCGACATTAAAGCTGTATAACCTTTTTTATTTTGTGCCTCTTTGTTTGCTCCTCTGTACAAACAGAATTGTTGTTAAAGAGTACAGTGGAAATGTAATCTTGTACTTGTATTAAATTGCAAAAATATCTATAATTTTGTATTTTTTTATATTTCAATTGGCAATTTCATTATGAATGCATTCGTGTATTTATATTTATATCATGGACACGAATAACAGAATATTTTATATTTGAGTTATTAAAATTTATTTTTATTAATTTGTTTTTTAAGTTTGGCTTCAATTTTTGAAATAAATTATAATAAGTTATTTATCAGGTTCAGCTAACGAGGGTGTCACGTAGGCTACCATGTTTTAAATATTGTTTATCGAACATAATTAAAGTACTGCATTCGGTTTTGTTAGAAATTTAAATTTTCAAATTATCTAAAAAATTAAATTTAAATAATGCCGTGTACTTATTCAGAAGAATTTTTACTACATCACAGTGTCCATGTTTTGAAGCAGTTATTAAGGGAGTTGCTCCACTTTCCCATTGTTCATCAATTTTCGCTCCGTTTTCGACCAGGTGTTTTACTATATCAAGTTTTCCAACAATGCACGCTAAATGCAACGGCGTCATCAAACTTCGTTGCGTCGCATTCAACATCTTCGGGTAATCTCGACCTGCGGTTTATTAAATATATTTTTCTATGACATTGTCAATATCCATATTTAAAAAATTAAAAAGTAAAGTTTGTAATATATTATCAAGCTTCATATGATAAATGTTACATAAAATATCATTCAACGCGACTCCCTTTGATACATGTGGCCACAATAAAATCTAAGTGGTGTATTTAAAAATAAAAATAAATTAATTAAAAATCATCTAAACTGCATGTAGTCGTTCATCAAATGCGTTTCCGAAATCAGTGGATTGTTCCAAGCAACACTGGTGTAATTTCGTGATACGATGAAACTCATATTGCTCTTCCTCCACTGACCTGCAAAAATATTTTTGCCAAAATCTTCGAAGCCATTATATCCGTGAATAAAATATTTCATGAATACCTCTAGTATACTATTGACCTGACTGTAGAAATTGGTAGCTCAGTAAAAATAAAAAATATCACGGCCATTTTACCGAATTAAATATCATTCCGCATTGATATTATATTTCAAGTTAATAGATTCAACTTTATTAAATTATTCTTTTTTTGATGCAATATTTTTATTAAAGAACTCTTAGTATTTAGTGGGCAATTCATAGCGTTTTTGAATGTTATATTGTTTTACATGAGGAGTTTTAAAAGATTTAAAAACTGCTCCGTTATTTCTAAATTAAGTTTAATAAAATGAAATGCAAACCAAATTTCATTTTTACCTGGATTCTGATAGTTCAAAATATTTTGAGTTATGTGAACGTATTGGAGCAACTTTATTGCTTTCTTTCATATTTTCCAAGCATTAAATATTCAGTTCTCTAATTATATAAAAGTACTAGTGTATCACCTGGATTATTAGGTATGAAAAAATAGCAAAATTGATAAAAAAAAAGTAATTCTATCTTGTCTATTAGTTTTGTGTCAATGCACATAACATGTTTTCTGTCTGTTCCCGCTTTCTGATTTGTACATTGAACATCAACATATGTCGCAAGTTATATATTAGAAATATTTTTAGAAATAGTTCTGGCAATCATAGAAGTTTAAATACATCAGTTTAATACTCTTGGCTATTTGCCAAGTTTGTAGGTAAAAGTTTTTTGGTCTTTGTTATCGTATATCTATTTCATGCGATGCATATTACACGTGATGAAAGTATAGCAAGAAGCTCTGATCAAATTGTTCGAATAAACGTTCAATAACGAACGCATTCGCATGATATTCGTCTACATGTTTTCTTTCAGTCAACTTTAACCAATAAATGATAACGTATTCCATTTTATATTCAAAATGTCGTTATATGTCATTATAATAAATTTTAAATTTGTATCAGTTTGTCTTGGAATTACCGAACACCAGTCCTTGTTGTTATGCACAGATGCTGATAAATACCAAATAATAATGCTGAGGTAACAAGCCGATATTATTATAAAGCATCGTTGGTATGTGGTCTGCCAAAATCTCTTGACACTCAAGGTCATATTTGTGCTGTTGTGGTTTTAACAAAAAACGACTCAAATTATTGTACAAACACTAGATTAATCATTACTTATAACACTTTAAAATTGATTAACTCCTACAAATATGAAAGTGAACCAACAGTAATTGTCAAGTGGATCGCTTTACAAAGTCGAAATATTGCTCAATACCTGCATACACAACATCGCTAGATTGTATAGGTCTATACCAGTGTTTCCCAACCTGGGTCGCGATCCAAAACTCAACTTCAAATCTTCTTGGGTCGCTTGTTTTTTCATCAAAGTTATTGATTTTATTTATTTTTAGTAAATTTTAATGTTACTCTCATATTTGGTATTAAAGTGTTACCTAATAGGAGATGTATATACATGGGAATGATCACAAAGTAAAAATCGACAGCCTCTAATTTGCCTAAAAAATGCTATTGTGTTATTATGACACGCCACTTTTTCAAAAAGTCGTTGTTGGCAAACCAGTGCATCTTTCTTACTTCGAAGTGATTTCTTGGGAAATAAATGTTATGTAAAATGATTGTTTTATGTTAGTAATGTTATTTTACGACCACGACCACGAACACTTTAGTATTTGAGCATATTCTTCGGTCGCGAGAAGTAACAACTTATTTTTTAAATTGAAAAAGCTTGAGACTCACTGTTACACTGCTATCACACCTCCATTGTGGGGGAGATAAATCTTGCTAAACAGTTTTGCTGAGTATTATTGGACTCTCAGTATTTCGCGCGTTCGACTAATTTGCTTGTTAAATATATATATGTAGTGAACATTTTATTCTTCCAATCTTTAACTCTCAATTTTATTATACTTCAAAAAGCCTGAAGAACATATTTTAGTATTACTAACTTACTAAAACCCTAGTTTGTTACTAGTTATCAGCGACGATTTTGGTACCCTATATATTGCATATCCTCGACGGCAATCGGGCAAGCCTGCACCCAGTCCCGACCTTAATTTTTATTTTACCAGTGTCAAGAGTTATGCTATATGTACTCAAACTTTTGCGCAAACAAATGGGGGCCGGGAGCAAGAATACACTTCTGACAAATACAAATATACTTTGTGTGCAATATAATATCGTGAGTATACAAAGTCGTATGTTAATAAAACATAATACAATCTAGGACAAGGATATTTTCGTCTCCATGGCAATTCACGCAAACAATCTAATATCAATCAATAAGTCCAATTAACAGTATAAAACACAAATGCCGTTTATTTGTTATGGAAAGTTTCTCTCGAAAACGAATTACATATCAAGTAGTATTATCAAAATCTAATTTGTTCCGATTAATAATTTAATCAGGATGGCATGAGAGCAAGCTAACGCTAAGAAATTAAAATACGTACAATAGCGTCAAATATCTTGACGCACGCCGCTTGTAGTGAATGTGACATGCTTTGAATGGCATAATTTTTCTTCTGCGCCTCTATAAAAAACTACTTTAACTTTTGATTTATATTTTCTGTCCTTTCTGGCTTTCTAACATGAAAATGCGTTGAAATTTGACCTTTGGTAAAACAGTCGACCTGAATTTGATTATAAGGATTGGTGTAATGTAAGATGATCAATTTTTATTGCATGGAAAAGCATTGCTGATTTCGATATATCTTATTTGTACAATATATTTGACAATGTCAAAATTAATCATACTAAACGTGAAGAACAAAAATATAGCACTATCATTCAGTTTTTTTTAACTTTGGTTTGAAACTAACTGTAATGGTCATTGATTTACAAAGTGTATTATTGACACACTTTTGTGGGTTTATGTCCACTAGGTGTTGCTAGAGACTACCACTTTTTGACTTAGCACCACGTGTTCTCACTTGCGTTAGGCTGATTGCCCTGTCTGCAGTTCCTAGTTGTTCTGGCTCTCCCTGGACTTGTATTTGTAATTGATTCGTGTTCCTTTAGGTGTAACAATTATGTTTTCCTAATTTTTAGAAATCTATTGGTACTGCATTTGTTTATACCCGAGTGACACTAAAATTAATTACCGGCTTTTTCGTACTCTACCAACTGTTTGGTGAGTGCTATTGTGTTCGATCTGATTTTGCAATCCTTGAGCGACTGTTAAACGTTTTCCAAGTTATAATACATTTGTTTGTATCAATCAAGTGGACTGTTGTTTATAGGGGTTTGGAGAACACAGGCTGTAATATTCGTTCCTGAAGGTGCTGTCCCGTCAAAGCATAACAAGAAAAAGACCGTGTTCACAAGTTAGTTTTAGTATCAATATCTGTGGCACACTGTGATCCGAGTGAACACCATTTTAGAGTTGGCACAGCGTGACCACCACTACAGTAATTAATTTATAGCAATTAATTCACGTCGGGGAAACAAACTGCAGTACACCAGCCTGACACTACAGTAATTAATTGAAGTAATTAATTAAAGTCATTAATTCAAGCCTGGGAAACAGACTGCAATACACCAAAAAAACAATTAATTTTATCCGGAGAAATAATTGCAGTACACTACAGTGATTGGAGTCGCAAGCTCGCAAATAGAAGTGCCACATATCGATTAATTGTTCAATGGAGTGACAAATTGTAGTGTGAAGCAGTGCAATGATCAGTACATTGGAATATTATAAATCAAATCACCAGTTGAGACGCCTTTGATCATGGTGTCAAGAAATGGTTCATCCAGCACCAGCACGAGTAGCAAAACTGAAGTAGATGCAGAAGATATTTCATTACCGAAAACCTTGACTGATGAAAATTCAGAACTGGAACAGCCCAGATCTGAAAGTGGCAAGCATCCACAGAAAACTGCTGTTGTCAAGATTTCTGCAGGTTGTAAAATCAAGGCTCAGTTTGTTGAAATGCTGGACTTCCTAAAAAGAAGTATTGCAAGCTGAAAAATGCTATTTCTATTCTGTGATGATAAACAGAAAATTAAAGACATGTTTGTAAAAGTTAATGATGATCAAAGGTCATTGGAGCATATTTTTCGTGGAATGAAAAATTGTATTTCACATGATGAATTGAAATTATTCGAAAATCGACTTATCGAAATTACCGGTGTGATTTTACGCTTGACGCTTAAGGGGAAGGAGCAATTAAGATCAAAACAGAATTTTGAGAAAAGGTCATGTAATTCATCTAGTATGAGAATATCAACCAGAAAAAGTGACATTTTGAAAATCCCTGCAAAATCGAACTTGGAACAATTGCATGAAGCAAGTAAAACGTCGGCAGTGATAAAAGCAAAGTTGGATTTTATGGCAAAAGAGCATGATACTGAACAACAATAAAGCGATACCCGCTTTGAATGAAATCCATTCGAATTAAATGGAGACTTAATTGAACAATCAGGGCTTCAAAAAATTCGCAAGTCTTTACCTGTTTCTAATTTGAGTGATAAGATGCTGTGACGAACCTTGTTTTTTCGTTTAAATGATGTCATGTGATATTGTTTCCATATTTGATATTTTGGCATTGAAGATACTGTGGGCGTTGTGACGCTGTCAGTTTGTCTTCTGGGTGTGGCCGGTTGGCG